TGCCAGCCTGTTTCTCCAAAATGGGATCCTAGTGAGCCCCTGAAGCAAACGCACCAACATATTGATACAAGAAATAGTCGGCTGCACATTCTCAACGGATAGCAGCACTTGGAACCTTTCACATGGCACGGGTTTCATGCTGCAATCCTGCCCAAGGGATCCGAAACAAGTCATTCAATTGAAAAAAGGGGTAGCCAACCCGCATGGGCGACAAGGCTCCAGACAAACAACAACTGTTTCCCGAAGAAGGCATGGAACATGTATTGCCCCATGTCATCCTCAAAGTATTAACTACAAGTAAAAGTGTCATTTGCTCACGCCAACAATGCGACAAGAAACTGTAGGAGCGACCCTTGCAGTTGTCAAGCCCAAACCAAGGTCCTTCGACCCAAAGGAAATCCACAACCAGAAGCCCAAACCTGGCGGTATCTGCACGGGCTTACCCAAAACCAAAGGCAAACAAGCAAAAGAGCGCATGTCCACAGCTTCGAGAACCGGCGGGAGCTGTCGCGGCTGCTGCCAAGCTGTCATGGGCTGTCACAGTAGTGTATGTTGGCCGAGGGGCGGGGCCGTGTCCAGGCGGATGTCACTCAAAATCTAACAACCCCAAACATGTTGGGTGCGGAACAAGGCAAAGAACGTGTTTGTTGAGCAACAGGAGAAAAGGACCTTCGTGGGTGAGCGCTTGAAGTTGCCTTGGGCGCTTGGCTTGCGATGACTCTCGATGCATGGCCTGCCGAGCTTGCTCTTCTGCGATGGGCTCCGGGGTCACCGAATACCACATCTCCTGCAAACATGACATCGACAGTCTTCTGCAAACAACATGGACCCCACCACAAGCAAATGCTGTTTTCGAAAAACTTTGTTCAGGACAGGTATTTTGACATGGAACCTGAGTAGGGAGGGTCCTGGAAGACAATTTCCGGGCACCCCTGGTGGATAAGGCTTTATCTGCAGGCAAACTCAGGAGCTGTTCGGACGGAGGTAGAGGTGGGTACCCTATCTACATCAGTTTCTGCAATTCCTAAACCTGAAGCAAGGAATCCTTAAGCAAGCTTCATCAATCACAGGCTCGTTTTACCCTAGGTGAGTTCACCAAAGCCGTTGCACATGGATTGTCAGCTTAATCCGTGTCAATGGTTGAGTTCATGAACCCGTTTATGGACCCCTGGTGCTAAGCCCCGAGTTTGCAGGTCTCCATGGGTTGACATGGTCCGCAGAAAACTTCATCGTTGCACCCCCCTTAAAGCTGTCTCCTTCAACTGGGAACAACCCTTGAAAGAGGGCACCCTGGGTTGAACCTCCTTGAATTTCAGGGGATGCGTGGTCGTTCCAAGACTCCCTGAAAAGTCAGGCTGTAATTAGAAGAGTCGCAGTGGGAGTGGAAGCAAGGATTGCGTACATCCGTCACGGCATGTCACGGCAAAACCGAGCCACCCTCGGGGCTTTCTTCAGCCTACAAGTACCCTTCGCTGGTCGCTTCAAGGGCTAAAAACGAAAGGGACGTCTGTTCGCTGGTTTTGAAGGCCTGAGGATCTCCAGGGCCATCCTAAAGCCTTTATGAAGGCGAGCACGAGAAACAAGACACATCTCCTATTTATCTCCTTAAATTATCTCACCAAAAGGAGCATTCTTGCGTGAACAGGTGTCCAAAAAAGGCAATGTTTGAGACTACCAAAAGGGAGCACACAGGGAGCATGCCGTAACTGGGCTGACCTCAGATCCTCCGCTTTTTAATGGATTAAATGGAAACCACCACTAAACACAAAAAAATCTAAAAGGCTAAGGAACCGGATGGCTGGGAGCCACCAAGATAGGTTTCTCTTGAGATTGAACTGAGGTCCTGGCCCAAGACGCTCCCGCAGAAAAAGAAAAAAAGGCCCTGCCAACAAAAGGTGGCACTGGCGCTGTGTCCAGGTTGACTCTGAATGCGCTGCTTAGGAAGGCAAACATAAGCGAGGTGTTTCTGCATCCATTTGCTTAAGCCCCCTGGAAAGATAAAAATATTTCGAGTAGTGATAGATTCCCCTTAAAACCAACAAGGACAAACATAAAATATATTCTTAAGCAACTGGAAGGCTGCAAGTGGTCAAGCTATGAGAGAAAGGCCAGGTCAGGCTCCCCTGAAAACATTGCCAATTGCGGCCATGAAGAACCCAAGGAACCCGGGTCCCGGAAAAAAAGGAGAGGGGTCGAAACTTTGGCACGGCTCCATGGAGCCGGACAGTTGACGAAACCCGCAACAACTGCCTGCTTTGAGCTCGGGAGGGAGACCAGGACGCTGGGGTGGTACTAGGGGGGGACAACCATGTCCTTCCAGAATTCTTGGTAGATCATTTAGCTCCCTCCGTTAAAGCAAATTCTGGATACCCTCCCTTCCAACCACCAGCTAGTCAATAAGACGCAGTGCCTTTGCAACACCAGAAGGATCTCTGAACTCATTGGCAAGGCAAATCCCTAGAAGAAAAGTAAACTAAGGGATCCATGGTCTGGTCCGACGCCATTGTTGGCTTCTCATTGTTTCAGGCTGTTTCAGATAAGCCTACGTATTTGGAATGGAATTGTCAAGCAATAGCCACAAGATTGCACTTTAGACGGGCGCGTTGCTAGTGGAAGCACCCTGCAGTCCCAAAGCAGCGTTGAATAAATATTTCCTTCTGGGGCGTTGTGGTCGTGCCAATGTAAGTGCTATTGGCTATGCGCAAATCATACAAGGTCCTTTACATGGGATGACCATCAGGGAAACCACCAAGCAAGATGACTTTCACCACTAAATGGACAAATACCCATGGGCATTTGGGGGCCAGGAATATTGAAAATTGATCAATCCCCACATGACTTGATTTGAACACCCCAGCCCACCCCCTTGCCCTAGCCTCATCAAGCTCGATGCCCTCGTCAAACCTCACAGACTGACGAAACCCGAAATTGCTTTTCTTCGCTTGTGCTCCTAGGTCCTCCAGTAGAGAAGTAAGAATAACCCTCCCAACCAAAAAAGGGTGAGAAAGGGCACTACTCAGGGACCTAGTTGTGCTCTCTCCAGCCTTGCAGCCCAGGGTCAGTCCCAGCCTGAAAATGTTTGGAGGGTAGCATTCTTGGATAGGCTTCATTCTGTGCGTACTTTATTCGGGGAGCCCCCCTAGTCTTCCTGTGGCTTTCCTTGAAACCGACCCCAGAAAAGGGCCCTCAAATGAAAAATGAGTCCAGGAGCCCGCACCGCGAGAAGAGGGTGTATCGCTGCTTGTGGTACCTGGACATGGTTTTCTCAGGCGAAAACCGAGAAGCCAATCAAAGCGAAGCTACAGCTGCCCGTGTTTCTTTCAAGGGGAAACCGCAAATCTCCTGTTGCTTTTTTGGGTAGAATTTCGGTGCTGGGATGCACCCCGCCTGACCCGCAAAGGTTCAAAAAGGTCGGCACCGGGCAAATAATTAAAGCTTCTGATCATGGAAGGGACGGAGCCCAAACATTCTGTACATGCCCCCTTTTTGATCAAGTCCCAAAAAAAAACATCCAGTAATGATGGAATTCCCTTTAAAACCAACAGAGAAAATAGCAAATATTCTTAAGCAAATGGAAGCATGGTTGCAAATCCTGCTTCCCAACACCTTCAGCAGGCAGCACGATTCCTTGCCCGCTGAGAATAATCTCAACTCAACAGGCAAAGAAGAAATCGTAAGATGCGAAGAACTGTGACATGGTCAACCGCAGTGGAGCGCAAGTTGAATTGCAAGTGGAGCACAGTCTGCCTAAAAATGGGCAAACTGACCCTCCCCCCCAAAAAAGAAAAGAAAAGAAGGAACACAAAACAAAAAGAACAACACCTGGATAGTCGAGAAGTTGCAAACTAAAAAGACACGCCCATATTTCGTGGGACACCGTAGCCCCCAACCCCCCTGGACGGCACGAAGCTGGGTCTTTTCTTCTCGCCGCTGCACAAGCGAAACGTGCGCTGGTGAAACTGGAGACCGGGTGAAGCCTAGTGGGAATCCCGGATGCGTAAGGCTTGGTTGATTTGGATTGGGGTGGGACACCCAAATGAGTATCGCAGGTTGAAACCAACCCGGGGTCAACATTACCCAAACCAACTCAGACGTCAGAACGGCCTCTTGCCGCACCAATTCCAGGTCCCAGGAAGAGTCCCTTCAAATCCACATTCCACACCCAGATTGTCATGCTTACAAACACATCGTCTTGGTTGCTGTTGACCCCCCTGCAAACAGTTTTTCACTTTTGGGGTTTGGTGGAAAACCCAACTTGATTTCCACAAAAAAAGTCTAAAGAACCAACCCAGGAGCAGTCAAGTCGTTTGCAGAGAAATGACATATCCTTTTCAAGTACCCCCCCTCCCACTCTTTTTGGAACATACAGGGGAGTAACCTTCATACTCAGAGGTAATCCAAAGGGCATACACTGTTTGTCTTAATGGGACTGTCCTTGTGCGGACCATCGCCTCAAAGGCGATTGCGCAGTTTTGTGATAGCCAACAGCCGGGTGTCCATTTCTAAGATGGTTTCCACTACCCCCAAGGCACTACCCCAAATGGTTAAATGGATGTTCAACCACTACGCAGCCACTAGATAAAGGGTATTGACACCACTTCCCCCGTGGGGGTAGTGGTTTGAGGGCAGTGGAAACCGGCTTAGATCCATCTCCGTGAAGCCCGATGCTCCGGTACCCTGCCACCATTTAACCGTGGCAGTTTGCAGCTTTTCCCTTTGGATGTTTAAAGCTGGGCACCCGCAAGACAAACCCAGCTGTTCGATGGCACCCCTGCTGTACACCCTCACCGAGGCTCAACGAAACTGGGTGCCAAATCGGGGATCTGGACAAGTGGGTGTGTCATTTTTGGTGGGTAGCCCTTGTTGAATTTGGGTACCTCACAAAACATACACGGATCTATTTTCGTAGGGGAACCCAAAACCAGCCAAAAAAGAGTTGGTGAGAAAGGTTGCACCAATTGCTGCGGGACTTAGTTCTTAAGCAATTCTTCTTTCTTGACGTTGGGTTTGGGGAGCAAAACAAATTAGATTGCTGCAGTTCAGCGGTTGGATTGCCACCACTAAACCGCCAGACCATCGAAAGCCGCTGGCACCTTGGCACGCGGCCGCTACGCCAGCCGTGGCTCACAGAAAGCCTCCGGCCCGAGGCTTCTCCTCGGCGAAAGCTGGTGTCATTTGCCCACTTGAGTGGATGGCCCAACAAAAAGGTAACCAAACTTGTTATTCACGACTAAAACGGTCTTCTGAAAAAGGATAAGGTCCAGGAACTCAGAAAGTGACTTTGTTTCTACCACTTCTGAAATTGACTTTGAGAATGGCAAAATAATCGGCACAGCTTTAGTGGCTCAAGTGCAAAGCGTTCAAGCGCCCAAATATGTATATATAAGTATATACATATATATGTATGCTTCAGCCACCGCCAAACGAAACCACTAGAAACCGTTTGAAAGGACGTGAATCTTGGATTTTTGTCGGATGAAACACTCAGTTGTTCAGTGACCCTGCGCAAAAAAAAGACCCCTTTTTGGGGAAGACCATTTCTAGTGGGTCAGCTACCCAAATCAAAAAACAGGAAACACATGGTGCCACTGAACAACTGAGAACAATCCGACTCCCGAAACCTGGCGTGGGAGCGAGTCATTTCTTCGCAGGGCCACCGGCTTTCAGCCACCGAGCCAAGCCAGAGGCAGCAAACGGATTGGAGCAGCCTGAAATGCCCACGGGGTTCCATCAACACCATTTACCAATTCAACTTGGCTGCAAATAAATCAGACCTTCACACCCAAGAACTTGCCAAGGTGAAATCTGCACAATGACTCTGAAACCGCAACTCCGTCCTTGCTCTTGGCGCAGCTTTGGTAGGAACTAACATCTTACATGCCCAGGGCGGAACATCAAAGTCTCTTGTGAAGTTCGGAACGCTTGCTGAAATTGATGGGTCAAGCAACAAGTCGCTTGCAAGCGAGACAGTGAACCGAGGGTGTGCTCAAAACAAGGCGCAGAAACATAATAATAATAATAATAACAAAAACACTGAGTTGTTGGTAGGCGCTCCCAGTGGAAGTCCCTCCAAAAGACACCCGCCAGCAACTGACTTCGAAACTGTACTGGGTGCTGAACAGGGGGTCTGGACAAAGAAAACAAACTTGTGGCTTCCTCAATCGGTTTCCCCTATTTCGCACCCGCCTTGCCCTTCGCATCGAAGGAGGAACCGCGCGAACAGAGTGGCAATGGTTGGTCGAAATGTCGCCAAGCCCTTTGCATGGGCGTCTGGATGTGTGGGGGGGAGGGGGGGGTCTTTTTTAAGGCCCCAAAAGGATGGTATTCCTTCAGTTTCCCTTTAAAACCAACCGAAAAAGAGGGGCCCAAGAAAAGACTCACCCATATATTCACTCGTTTGGGAAGCAATCAGGATGATTGGTTGCAGGGCCCTCCCAGCACAGGCAGCAAAGCTCTGCTCATTTACCCAAGGGACCCAGAAATGAAGGTCACTGACCTTTGACCTGTGCGTAAAGCAGACCAAAACGGGAGAACCAAAACTGGGCTGTCCCCAGGTCCCCCGCTAAAAATCTAACTAGTGGGTTAAATGGATATCCAACCTCTAAACACTAAAAAGCTAAAAAGCTAAGGGCATGGCTGGGAACCAGCAAGAAATTTGAAAAGGTTTAAATGTCGATCCGTTCTGAACAACTGAGGGGCCGCGTGCGCTTTGGCCTTACGCGACCGAGACTTGAGGGCGCGACCTTGTGTCTCTCAAGCGGCCTGTCGAGCTTGCGGATGAAGCCGAACAATCAACTTCCCTTTTTGCTTTTGCCCCAAGGGAGCAAAAGCAATACTTCCAGTAGTGAAATCGATTCCCTTTAAAACCAACAAGGGAAAAATAACGCATATTCTTAAGCCAATGGAAAGTCAATCACCGGAACATCTGTACATCCCGAAAACGCAGGCAAACCCTATCCCATCGGTCCATTTGACTTGAAGGTTGTCCGCCTCGATCAGCCAAAGTCCAAATTGGCCGATTCGGACACGGCCTGGTACAAACGATAGAAACAAGAAGCAAAACTGCGAAGAGACATCAGGAATGAATGACCTTCCCGAAGCTGTTCCAGGCTGCCCCTATCATCCGAGTTGTCGCTACTCCAGGCTTCGCGCATGCCCTGACAAGCCAAGCCGCTCTTCCTGTTGCCACCACTTTGGAAAAGTCAGTGGAGCAAGTTGAAAGTGGGAAACAAGTTTCAACACCAATTGCATGGTAGGAATTGCCCGCTGCCCAGGCTGGTTTTTGGAAGAATAACTTCGCCAAAGCTTTTCCAGACCCTGCCAAAGGATCCATCCCCTTCTGACTTCCTTTGAGTGAGGGAAGGCTTTTTGTCCCGCAGGAGGTACACCCATGAACCCACAGGCCGGCTGTGCAGGACACAGGGTGGCATGCAGGAGGATGACATGAACCTCGCACATGCGGACAAAAGGCGGGGGAAGCATGGATGGGGGGTTCCCCGTGGAACGTGTTGCAAGCGAATGAGGTATGCACCCGCTAGCTTGCAAACACCTTGAAGGTTCAAGAATGAATCATGCCTGTTGGGCATTTTTGACTCTGTCAAGTTGAGAAGCTAAGAGCAACTAGGTGATTCCGCACGAAACGTGCATTATTGTGAATGGACAAGTTCTAGGGTGTAACCTCTTCCCGTTCAAAGGTGTGCAAATGAAACGGCAGACTCGTGCCCCAGCGTATTCAGGGACGTCCATGACGTCCCCTCAATCATGCAAACAACACGAGGACTGCTTTACAAAAGGCCCACTGGACAAGCACAAGTGTGGCCAGATCCTCCAGTAGAGAGGATAAAATAAGGGTACACTTTTCTCTGTGGTCTATTTAGTAGGGGAACCCAAAACCAACCAAAAAAGAAACGGAAAAAGGGCACTACTGGGGGACCTAAGTGGGAACATCAGGACAACTTCGACGGGGCTCAGCCCGCCGGGTGGACGGTTTAGCTCTGCACGTTAAGCAAACACACGACCAACCAAGCAAACAATGTACACAAAATTGCAGTACAGCAAACAAGCAAGCTAGCAAGCTAGCAAACAAGCTAGCTAGCTGGCAAGCAAGCAAGCAAGCAAACAAAACAAACCGAAACAGAACAAAACAAACAAACATGCCGCTGACAAATGGTTGGAGAGTACTTTTCAACCTCTGACATGTTGGCCCCACAACATGACCGTAAACGTAGCCAAAGAAGCAGAAATCTCAAACAGGCAAAGCAAAAACAATGCAGTGACAATTGCTGCATTGGTCATTTGGCTGGGGCGTTCGGACAGTGCCACTGCCTCAGTTGTTCCAGCATGCTCTTCCGGTGACACAAAATCAACATGACACTAGGTGAGAAACCTCCCGGGCTTGACACAAGTATACAAACAGAGGATCAACAAGTTTGCTGCTTTCGATTTTAGTGGTGGAGCCCGCTTCTCTTTCTTCTGGTCTCTCAACCACTTCCCTAAAACACGTCATTTTCCCCCGGCCCTGGATTGCCAGGCACTGAACCCCCTGACGCGGATCCGTAAAAACTCCGACTTCCGCTTTCGAAAGCCCCGATCCGGATCCGAGGGAGGGACTTCAAGGCCAGATCCGGGCCTGGCAAAGAGATGGTGGCGATGATGATGATGCTGATGGAGTTTCTTTTAGCCCCGCATATCCCCGGATCGCCATGCGATCCAAGCCCTCCGAGTCGTGCGTTCGCCCGCTTTCGTCATTTTCGTTTGCCGGACCCGAGGCAAGAACCCGCCAAAGGTTCAGAGCACCAGTTTTAAAAAACAAAAAACATTCGCAGGGGTTGGCCGAAGACTGCCTTCAGAAGGAAACCACCCAAAAAACGGAGGGGCCTTAGGCCGTCAAATGAAGATTGTGAGTCACTCCTGATGGGTGACTAATGGCTCCATGGTACTCCCAAGAACCCGGAAGCCCTTCTCGCCTCAGAAAGAGATTCTCATGAAACATGGTGTGCCTTGGCTGGGTTTACATGTTCATCTGCTGGCATGCAAGCTTTTTCAAAAAGAGCTCCTAGGCATGTCCAACTCCTGGGGGGAGGCCCAAGCCATCCATGTGCAAAACAGGCAATTGAACGGAGATGTGCCCTGGACGGACCAGTGTTGGAGGGAGGGAGTTATGACATCCTGCCAACCAGCAGCAATCTGAGAGGTGCAAAGTGGAGTCTGCTGTCGAAGCAGGGTTGGGTTTTGTTCAACGAATGCGACATCTGACTTTTAACTGGCTCAGCAAGCTGCACCAAAGGAAGGTGCCTCGTAAGTGTAAGTCGCTGAGGGCTGTGAGGCCCACCGATGTCTGAAGGCAACATAGCGAATCCAACAAGAACAGCTCATGAGCTGCGCGAGATCGCAGGAGCCATGGTGAAAGCTCAAGGCCTATGCTTGGTTAACGTTGGAAGGGGAGCAACAAATTAAACTTTAGCAGTTAAGTGGGGAATTCAACCACTAAACCACAGCAAGCAAAATGCAAAATGTTTCCCAACAACAACCATGTATGCCAGGAACAAGTATGCCACACCACACCTAATTGCATTGGCAGGACCGAATCCCGAACTAGATCCGACAATAGACACCACGATACTGACGCTCAACGCCGTAAAAGCGGGATATGCCTTTTCATGATCAATGGCAAGTCTTTGCGGAGCAAACGTTGCCTTGAGAGTCCTGAAGCTCATACTGTGGGTGGACGAAATCCATTTCGCACCACTGTGAACCCATAGCAAACCATTGTATGCTGGTACTTACGGGGGAAGCATCACCCCAGGGTTTTTTAGGTGGTGCAGGAAATCGTCCATCCACAGTAGCAAGCCTTCCCTGGGCACAACTTCATGGTGTCCCTTAGGCCTTATCACCTGCCCCACGTCCAAGGAAGCCTCATGAGCCGAGATTTAGAGGCCCACACCGCAGAGGGTGGTGTTGGACGAGAATTACTGGACAGCTTTCACTTGTTCTTTGCGTATCCCTAAGGTATCCAGCAGGGCAGGGGATCCAACACTTTCCCCGCCACCTGACCACAGAACTGCAGGAATCCTGTACCCTGACCAAACTCCCTGGGCCCTGATGTGCGGGCCCTCTCCTTTGGATCCGTCTGCATGGTGATACAAATCCCCACCGGGCAGGTAGTCCTGCGAGCAGAAAGGGAAAGCCGCAAATTCCGCCGACCCCTTTGCCAGTTTCCTTTTTCTGGCAAAGGGTCAAGGCAGGTTTTGAGTGCAGTCTGAGGGGGCTGGGGCTGGGCCCGGCAGAGTTTTGAACCCGACCTCTAACTCTAACCTCTAACTCTGACAACTTGTCTTACTCAGTAATTCTCAGCAAGGCAGCCGGAGATACCCCAGCATCCCATGCAACTCTTTCCTCCCAGCTTCCCGAATAACAACGTCCACATATAAACATCTGGAATGAATCCATGGTAAATTATTTCAGTGACTATGATTCATTGCCGACAATGAGTTCCCAGAAGTAGTTTTCATGCTTGGACACCAGCTGCCTTTGGGCTTCAAATAGCCATAGGCCTGTAGCTCTTCCACACCAAATGCGGCAGCATTGACACCTTTGAAGCAAGACCAGGAGAAGAAAAAAAAGAAAAGGGGCCAATGCTTGACAGCCCTCATGGCGGTCTCATCTAACCTCCATACAACGTAAGCAATGTTGAATCATGGTGATGACAATGCTGTCAAATGCAACGGATTTCCATGGCATCACAGGAACGCACGCACACCACCTATTCCCCAGAGCCATACAACCCTCCCCACATCATGGCAGCGCAATGTGCTGAAAAACCTGGAATGGCGTACGCCACGTGCTCCACGCTCTCCCGAAGCTTGAAGTCAAGACCCCTGTATCATGGAAGCTGAGCGTGGCGGAAGAGAATTCAAGGGGCCTGCCCCCTCCATCGTTGAACCGAGGGCAACTTGAATCCCACCCAAAAAGCCAAACAACCGGCCGCCGGTAAACTTTCCAAGCCCTGGCACACCCTAAAAGAGAGTTTGCCAAGTAAAAACGCGTAAAACAAGTAGCACACACCGGGCATGCCCGCTGGGGAATCAAAAGGCTTTGAAGTTGCTCAGCCGCTAACTAAAAAGACAAACGACTCAAATAGCCAGCAACTAAACTAACTCTCTTTCTAGAAAACAAAAAAAAAACGGGGAAACAGCAACCATTAAAGAAAAACAGGGGAAACAGCGATCCGGTTTTTGAGAAAAGAACGATGGTTGAAAAGAATGGAAGAGGAACCACCCCCTAGAGTGTTGGTGATCTTGGGTAAATTCTAGAGTCTATGACCAGATCCATCCAAAAATCCTGGGAAGGTTCCCCTTTGCTGGAAGAGGAACCAACCCCTAGATGGATCTGGTCTGCTCATGGAATGAGCAGCTGTTCTGATCGTCTGATGGCCAGGCACCTCTGCTTCCGGCTTTTTCGTGGCACTCCACGACATGGAGCCTACATACGCTTGGGTATAATATATATATATATATATGTATCAGCAATAAATAACTGATATATCAGAAGACGAGAACTAAGAACACGAGAGCTAAGAACACAACAGAGTTGTAGATACAATAGAACAGGGTTCCACCTTTTTCATTACGGTAGACTTGAATCCAGGGGTTTCCCGTTTTAAATCAACCCACCCCTGGGTTTAAGTCTACATTTATGTCATGTTGACCCCATCTTAATCAACCCCATAAGGAAGGTGTCCCTACACCCCCCTATTCATCAGCTGAGGTTGACAAACATGGGGTCAACAAAAAAATCTAGGTCCTCCAGTAGAGAGGTTAGAATAAGGGTACCCTTTTTCCGTAGTCTATTTTAGTAGGGGAACCTTCCCCCAAAACGGGGTAAAAGGGCACCACTGGGGGACCTAGGTTAAAAAAATGGAACCCTGCAGAAGAAAGAACCCAGATACCAACCAAGCGCTCAGGGTCCTCTGCTGCCATCCGCACTGCCTCCGCCGCATGCCACGCTGCCAAGGGGTTGGTCCTGACGGGGATATGACTTCTGCATGGGAAAAATGCATTTCTAGGGGTTGATTCCTCTTCCATTCTATTCAACCATCGTTCTTTTCAAAGACCGGCTGTTTCCCCTGGGCTTTTGATGGTTTCCGGAAAAGAAGGATCCAAGAATGGCGAAGGTACAACTAGAATATGTCCCAAATGAACGGGGAATTGCCCCAAAAACTGCTCATGGAAACACCAGTGGCGAACTACCCCACAAAACCCCGCGTATCTGGAGGAAACTCTTGGGAAATGGACATAATTTGGGAGCGACTAACGCCTTCTTTCCAGGCTCCATTTGATGGGTCTCTCTGGGCAGCGGGCTGTATCGGTATTCAATATCACCAGTGAACTGTGCACTGCTGACATCCTCAAAAAACCCTTCGGACCTCCAAAAATGCGAGCGCTTCAATGCTTCAATGGGCCCACTCGTGTCCACCTTCCACTCCTCCCATATTCATGAGAGATGTTGCACCGTGCCCTAACTGACAAACAGACAGAGTTCTATCTCAGCATTCTCCGCCAGTTCAGAAGTTGTTCAGTTCGTTGGTCCGGCCAATTGAGGGCTACGCTACCACTTCCCTACTGAATACAATGCCTGCTGTGGCTATGACCGTTCCCTCGCTGCGTGATCAAAGGTAGACCCTACAATAAACAGTCACATGTCCTTATTCACGTTTGGTCAGCCGGCTAATGCACGTTGTGTCTATTGAAGATGCCCATGTCTTTGCAACGGTTCAACAATAACAAAGACATTAAACTCAGAGTCCATGTGCCGGTTCGCGGTTGAGGAAGTATTTGTGCCAAGGGCACCATCCCCGCTGCAATTTATACACAAGAACAGAAACAGGCTTTTGAACAGAAATGAGCGCGCTATTCGCATGCGATAAGAAATGTCGCTGAAACCATGACCCAGAGGCCCGTGTGGGTTTTGCACGCTGCTAGTCCCGCAACCGATGGAATCTGGCCATTGCACATACGCATTCTGCGTTTGTCCTTATGCACGCATAGTTGAAGTCAGTATGCGTACATTGATGCCTACCCCATCGGTACAATCCCGTCTATCCATAAAATGTGCTTTTTCCAAACCACCCTCCAAACCTGCTAATTTGAATTGGCCCCCCTTTCCTTTCCAGCCCAAGCAGGAGAAAAACAAAGCAAGGACCAGGAGACATGCCTTCATTGTTTACCACAGAAACGCTTAAACCTATCATCCTCAAACACTTGCTTGCGCTTCCGGGGCCGCCGGCTGAACTCTTCAGCCTGCCGATTAAGAAAGACGACACATACGAACTCGAACGTTTGAATGCATCGGTTTTGGTCAAGTCAATGATACCGGTCCAAAGATTCAATCGATGACAACGTCCGCTTCTCCTGACCAACATGCCCATCACCTCGGCACGCGCGGCCCATGGCGCGGAGCAGAAAAGAACACGTTGGCTCAGGCGACTCAAAGTCGACCAACAACTGGACCCAAAGAATCGATGCGATTTCGCCCGAACTGGCATGGGTACAAGGGAGCTTGGGACGTGAAGGGAAGATGGGCGATGATAGCAAAGTGCGGATGGCTACCTGAACTTGCCTCCAATGGGAAAGAAGCGTTTTCGAACCCTCGCACCACTGTCGTGCTGTGCCTTCTGAATGTTGCCTCCCCCGCTCCTTGCTGTGGTGCGCAACAGGGGCTAGATACGGGAAAGGAGCGTCCGCTCTTCCCTGGGTCCACTCCTTCCCTCTGGTGACCAAGTGATGGTTGCGACACATGCAAAAAAGACTGCTGCAACCCTTCGGATTTGCAATCGGTTAGCTTTTACCCCGGAATTCACGCTATGTCCTGCCCTCTTGACAGGAATGCAAAGGAGATTTCACCAAACCAACGCCAACAAGCGAGGCCCGCACGTCTGGTGGCGACTCAATCACGGCAGGATGATGGCCTCATGACGCGCGGCCACGGGGAACAGAACCCAACTCCCAGAGCAAAGGTTCTTGAAATCTGGGTTCTGATCAATTGAGAAGATCTTAGAAGGGGCACTGATCACAACCCCCCAGCCCAATGGCAACTCCCGACTCAGAAGATCTTAGAAGGCATTCTGATCAAAGGGTTCTGACAACAATTCAGCAGGGTAACAACAGGGGCCTGAATGTCTTTTCTGATGGATTGGGCATGGTGATCCAGGAAGGGCCTTGATATATAAATTCCCAACTTCGCAGCCAATCGGCACGAAGTCAACTTTAGACTCTAGACTTCTCACAACCAAACTGAACTAAACAGGAGAACGATAGAAGACCGTTTCCCACCTGTCCCCAGGATGTTGCCGCAAAACACCAGGTGGATCCCCAAAGGGAAACTGACTTCATACCCTGCCATGCGAGAAGGTACTTGTGGTTGAATGTATCATTTGTTCATTTCCCGGTCTACTTGCATGCATGTGATGGCATTCCATCATTTCAATGCATGTGATTGCCGCAGCTGCCAGCGTTTCGTCGCAACTACTCATGGGCACAACACTGCTTTGAGCAGTAGTACAACTTACTTACACAGACACACGCACACACTACCGGCTTAGGCCGTATGGTTGCTACGCGTGCTGATTCAGGCCGCGTGCTCATGTTGGAGTACGCAGGCGCGTGTGAGTTCAGACTGGAATGATAGATGGATAGATAGGCAGGTAGATCGATAGATGGCCGGATTGGTCGATAGATGGATTGGTCGACAGACATATAAGATACGATAAGATAAGATAGATTGATAGTTGGATGGATGGATGGATGTAGAAAAATAAGCACAAATTAGATTAGTTTAGATGAGATGTGATTCGATTAGCTAGATAGATAATAGATAGTTAGAAAGATAGAAATATAGATAGATAGATAGAGAGGGAGAGAGAGAGCTGGAAATACATAGATCGATACACAGGTAGATAAATAGATAGATAGATAGATTAGATTAGATTAGATTAGATTAGATTAGATTAGATTAGATTAGATTGGATAGATAGATAGACTAGATAGATAGACAGATAAATAGATAGATAGATAGATAGATTAGATAGATAAATAGATACATAGATCGATAGACAGGTAGATAAATAAATAGATAGATAGATTAGATTAGATTAGATTAGATTAGAGTAGATTGGATAGATAGACTAGATAGATAGATTGATAGATGGATAGATAGATAGATAGATAGAGAGATAGATAGATAGATAGATAGATAGATAGATAGATAGATAGATAGATAGATAGATAGATAGATAGATAACTAGATAGATAGATAGATAGATAGATAGATAGATAGATAGATAGATAAGATAGATAGATAGATAAATACATAGATAGATCATATAGATAGAAAGACAGATAGATCGATAGATAAATACATCGATAAATATATTTATGGACCAATAGACGGATGGATGGCTGGATAGAAACGACTTACTATAATCGAATCGAGTAGAATAGAATATAACACATCATATACTGGACTAGAATAGCATAGACTAGGATAGATAAATAAATAAGATAGGATAGGATAACGATAAGACAAGGTCAGATAAGAAAGAACAGATAGATAGATGGATGCAGAGAAGAATAGATAGATTGCTTGATTGATAGATAAACAAACATATACATAAAACAAAGACATGATACACCATAATATGATAAGGTAAGACAAGCTACGAACAGATAAGACAATATACATAGGCAGATCGATAGACAGATAGACAGGGTAGGATAGGATAGGATAGCATGGAATAGAACAGAACAGAGTAGAATAGATAGATAGATAGATAGATAGATAGATAGATAGATCTACAGATAGACAGACAGATAGATAGATAGATAGATAGATAGATAGATCGCAGATGCATAGATAGACATATAGATAGCTAGACTGACAGATAGACACATAGAACACAGGTACGTAGAGAAGAAGCCAAACATATAGCCAGGTAGGCAGAGACAGAGAAAGCAAGAAGCAAAGGAAAACATAAACAAAACATGAATACATATAGGAACAAAGAGGAAGGCAGCAGAACAAGGACACGAAAAATCACAGACACAAAGAAAGAAAAAGGACAGAAGAAAGACGGAAAGGAGGAAACAAGAAAGGACAGACATAAGAAACGAAGTAACAACATAAGAAATAGAGCTTCCAAATCAGACAGCGAACCATGAACGTAAAGAAAGGAAAACATGAACGATGACAAACAGCAAAAAAAACAACAGGAAGAAAACACACACAAACAACTATAGTTCTTATGTGTTTGAAACTTCCGCCCACCGGCTTCGCCTGCTCTACTGGGCAAATGGTACTGGTATCCAAAAACAACACCTGCTTCTCCCACACCCTTGCGTGATTGTGAAGATTCTTCTGGCCTTGGAGCGCCCTAAGTCGCCAAAAAAACTGAGAGTCGAATTAAACAAAAACACACACACAGACAAACAAATAACAAAAACTGAGCAGGGCGCCGGAGACGAAGCTCGGCCGGAAGTAGGGGTTTGCCGCCACCCAGTCGTTGACTCTCTGGTACTCCTGGACTCCTGCGATCTACAAAGCCCCGGTATCAAAATGGCCTACCCAGAACCAAGTAAAGAATTAAGAAGGCGGCCGCAGTCTACCGGGGTTTTGCTTGTGGCTCAAATGAGGGAGGGCCATTTTGGGGGGGGACCCCTGCACAATCTGGTAAATGAAACGGGATCAACATGGTCCAAACTAGGGGAACCCACCAAAGAGGCTTTCCGATTGGCGGGCTTGGTGCGGGCTTGGGGCTTGCGTGGCTTGGTCTGGTTCCCTTCAAACCCGACCAAGCGCCGTATGGGTACGGTACCCGCACGAGTACCCATAACGTATCCGTCGTGCCGCGCCTTACCCGTACCGTCAGAGACCAGCAGAAACCCCCAAAAGCCATGGCTCTTACTAAGCGTAGACAAAACTTTGAAGCACAGCTTGATCCGTAGAGTAAACAAATACACTTGGTTGACGTTGGAAGGGGAGCAACAATTCTCAAAATTTTAGCAGTTAAGTGGCTGGATTTCAACCACTAAAGCACAATAAGCAAAACATATGTCCAATGTTTCCCAACAACAACCATGAACAAACCGGCTGCCTAAAGCCCAGGCAGCACCCGGCTCGCGACTCCGCGACTCTGCCTCGCAGCTCTTCCGCGGCCTGCCAAAGCGGCCCGAAAGCGGCGGGCTTGGCGACGTGAGGAAGGTTGCTCGAGCCCAAACCCCTGGCCCCTGAAAATCGAACCTCCGCCTGTTCTTTGCCTTAAGTCTGGGCTCAAACAGACTCGGCCACCCTAAATCTCACTTCCTCAGCTTGTCAAACAAAACGAACAAGCCCATGCTTTGTGTACAATGAAAGCTTGAGACATTACAAAGGCTTGGGAAAGTGTGATAGGGCTGCTCCCCAACCTCATTGACATGCCTTATGTACATCGGTGGGTGGGATCTTCGACCCCTCCCATTTTGCAGGAGGCGGTCTTGCAGTTTTGGCCGGATAATTTCACCAAACAGTGCTCAGGCCACTAGGAAATATATGGGTGTCTGTTTTAGACTCCAACAAAAAGCTCGTTGGTTTTCCTTTAAAAGAGGAGCCCGTATGTTAACCCAGCCCCCTCTCGCCAGCCGAAGATAGAGATTCCGCCCCCATCCAGTCGAAACGAGCGCTTGCCTTTGGTGCTGGGGGGCCAAAGGAAACCGAACTATCCGAAGAGCTTTTTCAGTCAACAAGCCTCGGCGTAGGAAGAAAGGACGGTTCAGAACATTGAAACACCTGTTGGTTCACACCCAAGTGTTAACAGTTATATTCTGGTTCGACAGCCGCCACTAAACAAGGGCAACACACAGAAACGACTTTAGACCAGCTTTTGGCTTTGGGCAATAAAGGAAAAACGGGGTCTGCGGGACGCTCCTGGGGCCCGGGCTGAACAAGACCCAGTTGTGTGGGGGAGTCAGTGACCCTCTTGGCCGTTTGCAGGCTGTTCAAGGCGCCCCCACATGTCCCTCGCACATGGACCGCAAACCATGGTAGGTGCAAAAAACCACCACTCATCAGGCCTATCATCACCTAAGAAAAGCGATTTGGGGCTTCGCGTGCCCCAGCCCTAGGTGTCCTTTTAGGGGAAATAGACGGATATCCCTGGTAGACGAGCAAAAACCACCAGGTAATGCAGGAATCGAAACCCATCTATTTCTTCCACCAAAACAACAACCAACAAAAAAAAAAACGAGATGGCCCCAGCCCTTTTTCGCGACCTGAAAAACTTGGCTCTGAAAAGCCACGGGGCCCCCAACACGGGACCCAACGGAGCCAACTGCAACGGCCCCGGCCTGCGAGGCCTGCGCCACGGCCTGCAAGGCCGCCACCTGGCGCGCGGGCATACGAAACAGGCTTGGAACATGGGCTGGACCAAAACCCACCTGTTTCCCACATTGGGAGGGCAATACATATATATATATATATATGCATATGTATAGACATTTATTTTTGTAAATACATCATATATTCTTCATGAACTTTCAAGTATGGCGCCATGAACACTTTATGTTCGGTAATGACCGAGTTCTTAAGGGGCCAAAATAATTCTGCCGACTTCCTGAACCTCATCATCTAGCAACCTTTGGAAGCCATACTCCTAAGATGTACCATTAAACAAGTTTGGGATATGGCTTGGGGAACTGCATCACCTGATCATTTGCCATATGTTTTGCGGGTTTTCGCGTACCATAAAGCTTGCCATGGGATCGTTCTAGCCTCCAAAAGCAGGCCCATAACCGCGTAGCCAAAAACGCATTACAGTTCAAGGGCTTCGGACTGTTGCTACGGCCCACTTGAGCTGATCCGGGACCGAATGCCCTGAGCACACAAGAAACCCATTGCACTTGATACAAAAGATCCGCGCCGGATTCAAGAAACAAGTCAGAGGCGTCTTCAATCAGGATAAGTGTCTTCATGTGTGACCAACACGTAGGGCAACGATCCAACCAAATGGCAGCCACGCAAGCCAAAATGCCGCACATGTACTCCCTGCAAATCACGTAATAGGTTAGACCTCCTTTAGTAATAGTACCCTCTATAGAATCTATTTTTTCGGGGGGGGGCGTCCGTGTAAAGAGGGTCCCACATTACTGACCAAACCGCCTGGCAAAAAGGCCTCTGCTTCTGAGCGAACCGAAGCCTTAGGGTCCGTGAGGTCCTCCAGCTGGGATGCCTGCTTGAGCACGTCACCTCAGCCGAGTGAGGGGCTGTGTTGACCCGTGGAAAAAGCCATAGAGGCTGGTAGCTACTTGGTTGCTGTAACGACCCCCCTTCAAAAAGTGTTTCACTTTTTGGGGGGCTTAGTGGAAAACACAACTTGATTTCCCAAAAAGTTAAAGTCTAAAGATCCAACCCCATAGCAGTCACGGTTAGGGCTGCATGGAACATGTCGCTGATTGCGAAATGGGAACCTGGGACGTTCATTGCCCCGCAGCCCGGAAAAATATTCCCCGCCGAGTCCCGCGCTGAGCTGGTCATCCACATCCAGGCTGGGCATGGCGCCGGCTTCCGGCAAGCAATCCCTCAGGATCTCTCGATTTGGCCTGAGGTTCAAGGCCTGGAAGAGATACCTGCTGGGGCGGGGGTGGGGGGAAAAGGAGGGCAGAGTGGTTAAATTGTGTCCTTGATTTTTGGTCTCAAGTGGTCCTCCCACGGTTTTCTAAGCCTGAGGTGTTGGAGCCGGAGGTGCGCTGGTAAAGGCTCCGGATGGAAAACAAACACTTGAACTGTTTGGCATGCAGCTCTTACGCAGCTCAGCATATGGGAGGGATAACACACGCAAAGCAGTCAGACAGAAAACAACAGCAGGACGGGGACATCATTTAGCTAAATCAGCCTCAATTTTAACTTTTAGTGGTTTGATAGAAAGCCCATGAGCTGGATCAAAAAGTTAAGGTCCTAACATCCTTTGGCAAAATGCACCAAAGAAGGGACTTGGAACTGAACCAATGGAAATGAGAACCCAACAACTGAGCCGGCCAGTGGCCCGCCGCTTGAGATTTTGCGGACGGCGATCGGAGTCAGATCGTGACGTGTTTTTTTGCTTTTGGCGGCAGAGGGCATTGCCATGCTACCTGCCATTTGCTTTTTCGCCCCCTGCAAAAAAAAGGAGGGTAAGGGCGGTTCCCTTGGTTGCCAGGGAAGTCTTCCATTTGCTTGTAAGCCCCCTTTTAAAACAAATGGACTAAAATGTTTCCAGCAGTGAAGTCGGTTCCCTTTCAAGCCAACAGGGGAAAATACAACATATCCTTAAGCAAATGGAAGCTACCCCCATGAGGCCACTATGCCCGAAGAAGGCAAACCGATTCTTCCACTTGATCTGCCAAGTGGCGTAGTTGTCAAACAGAAGGGGGTTCCTCTCTAAGAGCGATGCTGCAAATTGTAGAAACAACAGCTAACACAAACGCACACGATGACTTCTGTCGTCTTTTTTTACGGTTTGTGCTGTTGTGCCAACAAGCCAAGGCACCCACTTCAGGAAGCACCGTTAACTCTCTGACATCTAGCGTTCCTTGAAGCAGGAGGGGCCGCGGGCCAAGACCATGAGTGGGTTCCTGTTGATTCCCTTCAAAGCCAACCTGGGACATCAACTCAGATGCCCAGTGGCCATGGGAAAAAAGGGCGTCCTTTGTTGTTTGGTTGAGTTTCAAGGGGAACCCTTCCCCAAGAAAAGGAAAAAAGGGCGCCACCGGGCGAGTGGGTCAACAAAAGTTCATTTCAGCAACTGGAAGTTACTGCTTCGCCTTGACGGGGCTATCTCCTGGCATCCTCCCCTATCTGCACAAGTACCGCATCCCCTGTTGGCGTGGCTTGGGAACAACGCACCCAATCGTTGCACTTCTTCAAGGGCCCTCAACCCCCCCCCCCCCCTTCCGCACAAATCGAAGACCTCTTCGCAAATTTGGCCTTGGGTCTCATTTGGGCTTGATAGAGCCTGGTCAGGCCTTAAGGTTTTGCATTGTGTTGTCTGGGCTGCCCTCAGATCCTCCGCTAAAAGCGACTAACTCTCAGTGGGTCAAATTCGGAAACCCCATTCAACCCTAAGCTAAAAGGCTCAACCGCATGGCCTTCGGGAGCCACGTCTCAACCTCCGATCCACCCGGATCGCACCTCCTCAGCCTCGGGGGCAGCGCCTCAGCTTCCTTTGCTTGGTGGTGGGGATTGCTTAGGGGAGGCATCCCATTTATGACTTGACAAGTACCAGAGGTTCAAGTCTTTAAATCCAAGCCAAGTGGTGGGAACCTGACATGACCTGAATTGATTTGTTCGATGGAGGGATGGACAGGAAGCCACTCCTTGTACTGCGAACCCATTCCTCTTGCCCGGCCACGAGGATTGCCAGAAACCGACCCTATACACTTTTGCACTTTTGCCCGTCGCCTCCAGTTGGTCTCGAATCGGCCGGCTTGTTGAAATCACATCCGGTTGCGGCGATGGATTTGTCGAGCGTGGCTCAAGGGTGTGGCTCACCGCTTGACCCGGCAGCATGTTAGATGTGTCTTGCGGCCTGGAAACGAGGTTGTTTGAATTGCAGCCCTAGGCCTTCCCGATGACTCGTCCTGAAACTAGGGGAAGGTTTTGTGGCAGTACTGGGGCTTTCCATGCGCAATGCAAACAGTGTTCTCAAAAGCAAAGGGTGGGAAAAACAGGGCTGTCATTTGCAACCTTTTGGGGACAGAGCATATCTCTAAGAGGAAGCGCTGTCACTTCTAGAGTGCCCAAACCTAGCTCTCAAAAGACTAGCTTCTCCCAAAACTGCACATGGGGGAATGTTTACGGGGACATGTAAGGCGGAGTGCGGGGTATACAAGGGGCGTATGTGCGGGGGCACGGGCCCTACGCATGCGCAATTTGAGTCCTCAAGCTTCTGTGGGACACGTCCCTCCCAAACGGGTGTGTTTGTGAGGCTACCCCCTGTTTTGTGGCCTTTGAAAGGGAAGCCAAAGGAAAACCGCAGTTCTGGGCTAAAAGGCTAAGGAACCGGATGGCTGGGAGCCACCCAGAAATTTTAGAGGGTCCCCCCCCCAAAAAAAAAAACAACACGCCCAAATGGACGGGCTTCACCAGCGGGCGCGCGGAAGGCCAGGCGGGCGGCCAGGCGCCCGCGCGGCGGCTGACCAGCCGGAGGTATAGAAAGCCTTGCGGGGCTGGCGACGGCCCAGGATTCAACGCCCACCTGGAGCGCTGAGACTCAGTTGTTCAGTGACCCTGGAGAAAAAAAGGGAGCCCTTTTTGGGAAGACCATTTTAGTGGGGTAGCCACCCCCCCAAAAAAAAAAAAGGAAAAAAGGGAGCCACTGAACAACTGAGGAGAATAAAGGCTGGGCTCATTTTACCCCAGACCCGTGAGCTCACCATAAGCCTAGGCAGACGTATGGCTGGCTCAAAACACCGTACGAATGGAACCCTGGCAAGTGGACACATGGACCAAAACCTGCGTAACGGCGGCAGTTTAATTTTCAGCCACATCCATATCCCACCTGCTTGAATAGACATATATCTGGAATATATTGGGGCATCGTTCCCCTCCCTGTGATTGGTTGAGCGCTTAGATACCGTCAGGCACATTGGTTGCAAACATATAATGTGGGCACCCTGCGGAACGCCCTTTCAGAATGCCAAAGGTTGGTCGAACTGATCCCCTGCAACCAGTTGCGACTCACTCCGGTCAACCAACGTGCAAACCAAGAAGACCAAAAAGCCCCCCCCCCCCCCACCACAGGCCCGCCCAATCTTCATAAGACTTAGAATTGTTAGGCCAACGAAGGCCGCTTGGTTTGGTGACGAAGGGGTGACTCAATTTAAAGTGAAGAGCAACAGGGCATATCTTTTCTTGTGTGTGTGTATGATGGAGTCTGATTTTCGAGAGTGTCCTTTTTGGGATGGTTTTGAAGGGCCACCAAAAAAGGAAACCGTGATTTTCGGAAGTCCCCTAAAAAACCATCCCCCAACAAGTGATGGTCGACAAATTCGTTGAATATAGCCGATTTGAGGGCAACTCCTTTCTGACCATCCGAATCTATGCACGATTTTGTGGAAACTATAGCTGCCAGAAAAACCAAATGCGAGGGAAATTGGGGTTGATCAATACTCTTGGCCCCCCAAAATTCCCGGGGAAACGTTTCACATTTAGTGGGAAGTACCATCTTTTGGGTGGTTTCCGCCACGGGTCATCCCATGAGGACCTTTTGATCAACCCCCAAATCATGTGCCTGCGGAAGCTGGCTGAGGACACCTGCTAAAAGGATTCTCCAAGGTCTTCGCCTGTGTTTTCCTCGGTGCTTTTCTCCGTTGAAAGTGAAAACCACCCATTGTTTGGTTTTCAGGAGGCCTGCGTGGGTACTGGATGGCCAGTACATGACAAATCTGGCAGAGGATTCAGAGCATTGACTGTTGCCAGAAGATCCCTCCTGCTTTGAGTCTTGTTTTTGCCTTCTTCTTCGCTGGCTTCGGGATGGCCCCGTTTTGCAACACATCGAACAAAAAAACAGAATGCGATCCAACCTTTGAGGCCAGGATGCAAAAATGACACACCTCCGCTGCATGCGGCCCGGTTGCATATGCCGCATTCAGCAAAACCGTGAAAGATCAACTTTGGGTTGGCCCACATTGCAAGAACAACTAAAAACTAGGTGCAAGTGATCCATACAAACCCCCAACTGTTGGAGCCAAACATCAACTTAGGATTGATCCACATTGCAAAAAAGAAGAAGAAAAACTAAAACCACCAGCGATGACCTCGTGCAAGTGATCCATAACCCCCACCTCCGAGCCTGGTAGCAATGTTTGCCCCATCGCCTCGCGGTCACGGCTTCCAGGCTCTTAGACCCGCATCCTGCTTTGACCGGGGTCCTACCCTGTGACGAACACATCCCCAGCCTGCCATCCCCGCAACAAGAATATGGCTGGAGCCCACCGGAAGATCTGTTCCTAGGATCCCCGTCAGGTTCCATGGCAGTTTGGCGTCAGCCACGCGCAAACCTGCCAGTTCGCACGTCTGCCCTTGTCCCCTGAAAATCGTCATGAAACTCCGAACACGTTTCCCCGCGAGTGGTCTAGAAAAGCTAGGTCTAGGTGGTGACGCAATTGGCGTCGTATCACTTTCTGGTTGGATGCGGAACACACGTCGACCACTCTCCTTGCTTCCATTTTTTGTTTTTAACAAGAGTAACAACAAGATCCAGAAACAACGGATATGCTCTCATGGGTGCAGTAAACATCAACATTACTCAGCCCTGCACAGTTGCCCCCCCCATGGAGTCGTGGAAGGTCCTCAAATGGGCAACACAAGTATCCTCCGCCTGGACCCGGACAGTGTCCCGACTGACACCCGGTCCGGTCTTGCAAGAGTTGCATGGCAGGGTGGGAAAGATCAAGGGTCTGGCTAATCCCCTCTTGTTTCCCCTTTGGGTATGTAAATCAAACACGGGAAAGAAAGAAGCACCGGCATGATTTCAACGGAGTATGTGCTGCTTGAATTGACCGTCTGCAAGGACCAGGGGGAGCATATGACAAATGTTCAAAACCCTCGGCTCTAGAAGCTTAAATTTGGGATC